GGGGGCAGGGTGGGGGGCAGGCGAAAGGGTACGAGGAGCCGCCTCCCGGCGACCGCCTGCAGAGCGCGCGTCGTGTTTCGATTTAGCGTCGTGTTTCGATTCCGACTCGTTCGATAGACTTTATATATCCAAGTTCCGCGTAGGCTCACGGCTCCCGGTGGCCGTGCACCTGCCTTAGCTGCAGCACGTGGCGTGGGCGCCGGAGGACGCCGCCCTGGGCTGGGCTGGCCGCGGGGAGCGTGGCGGCGCGGCGACCGCGTGGTCAGAAGTTGGGGGAGTCACGGGGCGGGGGGCCGGCGGGGCCGGCGGGGCGCCGGAGCACGCTGCCGAGACCACAGCGGCGAGGATGCCTGCTGCCGCCCGCTGTCCGTCACTCCCGCCATTCCGCTGATCGGCATGGCGCATAGCTGCCATAACTCTGCATGCTTGGCGGCAGCTGGCAGCAGCGAGGAGCTCGCCACCGAGAGCTTTCCGAGAACGACCGCAGCACAAGCACAACGGCCTGCCCTCGGCCCCGCCCGGTCCCGCTACGCACCGCCACCGCGCGCCGGCACCGGCGTTGCCATTGCGGGTAACTGAGAAAACCAAGCAAAGCCAATAAGTCCGTAACTGTATTTTAGCTCGCTACCCTTTCGGGAGGGAGAGCTACACCTTTTGAACTCGAACACGTGTTTGTGTTTGTGTACACGGGGGCGCAGCCCAGGGTCTTTTGGAACACGTAAATGGGCTTGATAGACCATCATATTAGCGTGCTTAATGCTGATTTGCACTATTTGGTTCAAGAACTGTTGAGGTGTGAACCTGTCAACAAAACCGGAGCCGGACCGTTGAGAGGGTGTTGACTAGAAGTTGCGGATTTTTTTTCCGCCTTCTCTTTTCCCCCTGCCTCCTCTTTCCGCGTTGGACATGACGCCGAAGTGCTGCACGCGGCGGGATCGGAACGCGCCAAAGTTTGTTGTTGATGTTGACGCCTCGGAGTTCACGATGCCCTGGACGGCAACGCATGCGCGACGAGCGGGGAAGTCCGGGACGAGGTCCGGCAGCAGCGGCAGCAGTGGGCTGGGGGGAGAAGAGAGGTGGGGAGAAAAGGCGCGCGCTTTCCTAAAACTGAACAGAGTCCTCGCCTGTGGAAGAACGCTGTGCACCTAGAGTTTTTGAATCGAGTACTATACATTCTACGTGATCCTTAATTTTTCAAGCGATTGATTGAAGTTCTATCTGTACTTAAAAAATTTATGAATCAGGCGCAATATGTACTTGGTCCAAGAGCTCAGTGTTTTGGGTGTATGGCTATATCAGACTTATTTCCGCTCTGCGGATTGACCTACTACAATATGGCGGCCAACAACGGCGGGGACCTCGCCGATTAGGCAGCTCAGTCGCCTGTTGCGCCTCGAGAAGCGCTAACGCGTGCGTTTGATCTGCACTCGAGATCGACGACGGCGGCGGCGCGTGGGTTCATTGCATGTAAACACTGTGTACGTGTGTATTTGTGTACGTATGTGAAAAATGGGGGAAAAGGGGGGGTGGGGAATTCCAATTCTATGATGTTGCATCACCTCATTTCTTATCTCGGCCTCTCAACACAACACGTAGTAATATTGCGCGTAGAAAAGTGTGTGTGTGTATGTGTGTGTGTGTGTGCGCGCGCGCGCGCGCGTCTGAATGGGGTATTATAGTTAACCCTCTCAAAGCAGGTTGTGGCAGTCGTAACAGCAGAGCAGTATGAGGAATATTTTGTCGGTAAGCATAAAGGAGATCAGCTGATCTTCCTAGGAAGATGCCAAAACATCGCGAGCCTCAAACCTCCGAGCCAGATGCCATCTCTGAAAAAAGGCTAAAAGACATCTAGGACGATCTAGTTTTTGACCATGTAGACGTAAATGGTCCAAAAATAGACCCTGGATGCAGGTCCGGCTGGCAGGGGGCCGTGCATCGTAGGTTGCCTACCCACAGGGGTTTGTGGCACTAATTGCCTACCTGGCTGGGTTGCAACTGTTTTTCGGAAATAGTTTTAAACATTTGAAGGCTTATTAGTGACGTTCTGCTGCAATGTTCCCCTAATGATGTTCTACGTACACTACACAAAATGCCTCAAGCGCTCGTGGTTGATGTTCGTATGTCTCCAGAGGCACCGACACCTGAGGGAGGGTAGGGGAAGGACAGCGATCAGGACCAAAATGTTCGTGTATTTGTATACACCTAACCTAACACGCGCGATTTATTACGATAAATATATTTAAAATTAGGAGTTTCTCCTGTATTTTTCTACTGTGATTGTCAATGGACGAAACGGGTCGATGCGGTGGTTTTTAGAGACATTTTAGAGATATTGGCAGCCGCTATAGAAGGACACACACCTCACATGCCGCGGTGCGGTGACGCGGGTTGTCTATTTACCAGCAGACCCGCCTCTGATAACCCCCTCTCCCCTCTCTCTCTCTCTCCCCCCCTCTGTCGTTTTATCTCTCCCCACTGTGCATATTCCACTCCTCTTCACCCTCTCTCTTCTCTTCTCTTCTCTTCTCTTCTCTTCTCTTCTCTTCTCTTCTCTTCTCTTCTCTTCTCTTCTCTTCTCTTCTCCCACCCCGCTCATTGCTGCGAACTCCAATGAGGTCCAGCACCATCGTGGGTACCCTCTGTGTGTGTGTGTGTGTGCGTGCGCCTGTGTGTGTGCGTGTGTGACGTCTGGCGTCTTCCGTCACCCCTCTCGCCGTGACGTCACAGCCGCGGGCGACGAGCTCCGATTCCCTTTTCTTTATTTGCTCTTTTTATTTTGTTCCTCTCCCTCTTCTTCTTCTTCTTCTTTCCGTTTGTAACATCTCGGTGCAAGTAATTGGCATACGAAAGCTCGCGCGCGTCGCTATTCTCCGCCGGCCCCATCCACCCACCACCCATCCCCGCCCCGCGGGTCCTGATAGAGACGCGAAGGCGAAGGCCCGGCTGGGCGCTGGCACCTGCTCCGCTAGCTCCGCTCAGGTGGTGCGCCAGCAGCGCCAGCAGCGCCAGCAGCGCCCTCGTATCAGTGACTTAGCGCCCCTGCTTCTGATTGGCTGGCGGGGCGGGCGGGGCGGCGCGTGGCACATCACGTGTCAGCCCGCCGAGCGAAAGGAATAATGTTTAAATGGGAGCAGCAGCAGCAGCAGCCAGTGTTGCCAGAAAGGTATGCAAAAAAATCGCCCAATGCACCTGTGCGCAACGGGCTTGTATCTCCGCCTGCCTACTAGGCAACATCTGCACAGGCGCGCATGTGGTTTGCCTAGTAGGCAGGCGGAGATGCCACCCACAGCACACACGTGTATTGGGCGCTTTTTTGCAGAACTTTTCTGGCAGCACTGGCAGCAGCAGTAGCAACAAGTGTAAACGGTGATATACCGTGTCGCTTTTGTTATTTGCTGAATTCCCCGTTCGGTTCACACCTGTGTGGGTTAGTTTGCCTGAAACAGTTTTGTGTATAGGTGTGGCGCCGGTGGTGGTGTTCGGTTCAGGTGCGCCAAGGTTAAAGGAGGCAGAGACAGTTGTGCGTTGATGCGGCTACGTATACGACGTGTACCTGGCTGTGGCTCTGAAGTCGGCCGAGCCCGCCGTTCCTTCGTTCACTGTTAAATTCCTACAAAGCATCCGCTTTGCAGAGCTGCGAAGTATTTTTCTCCTTTGTAACTACGAAAGCATTTACTTTGCAATTACAAAGTGATGCTTTGCAATTGCGAAGCAATGAAAACGCTGCAAAGCATCGCTTTGCAATTGCAAAGTGTCACTTCCAGGGTTGTTAAAGTTACAGTAACGCAGTAACGAAGTTACTGTAACGCGTTACTCGTTACTGTAACGATAACGATAACGCGTTACATTTTCAATTGGGCTGTATCGGTAACGCGTTATCGTTACCCTCGTCAGTAACGAGACGTAACGTCGATACATTTTACTCGTTACATAGGTACACTTAATTCGTTGATGATGATGCGAAGGGAGTTAAAGTTTAAGCGCTCTGCAGCAATCGTGCAATATTTTCCCGTGAACACCACAGAGCCGAAGGGGGTGAGGGGGTGGGGGGGTCAGGTCTTATATTATGACTTCTCAGCATAGCTGGGCGCGGCGCTTAGGGCCGCTGGACTGCGGCGCGGGACTGGGGGAGGGAGGAGGGGATGTTGTGACTCCCCGCGCTGGCTCGCTGGCCGAGGAAGTGCGGTATGGTGACAAGGAGGCCGCTTCGTATCAGCGCCAGCCTCCGGCCCAGACATATGAGTCAGCCGTAGGTCAGCAGTCTTTTCGC